AAAACAAAGTTCTTTATGAACCGCAGGATTGCTTGTAATAAAGATTTCTATGCAAAAGGAAAGGAAGTAGAGCTGACTATTTCTGTCAATGGTAAGTTTGTGATAACGTAAGAAAAGTAGTTTAAATGTTTTGCCACTTGCTCGAGCAACTTAATATATAAATCTAGAAGTAAAATACCGGCATATCCCTAAAGGAGATATTTGTTTAAATTTTATTTTGTGTTTGACTGTTAAAAAAATATTTCTTGTTTGTCTTAATAAATTGGGCAAATTAAAAATACAGTGGTTAAATTTAATTTTTTTTTCTATTGCTCCGTTTTAAAAAAGGTTATAAAAAAAATTTCAATAATTATCGATACCGAACGATATGAAACATTATATCGTTGATACATTTTTTAGCTATATCGCCCAGCCCTACTTCAAAGCATATAATTCAATCCGTTCATAAGTGACAACTGCCAGAAATAAATACTTCAGATTTCTCCACAACTTGTAACAGCCTCTCTTAGAGAAAAATACGTTTTTCCCCCTAAAAAAAAGAAGAAGCTGCACTTTGCTGTTGCAAGCTTAAATTGAATCAAATGATTGCTATTACTAGCTTTTGATTCAGAGTGTAGCTTGCAATTATTGTTTTAAAACTTGTGTTACTTTCAAGTATTAAATAAGTCACAGTAACAAAAATAAATACAAGTTAACTGCAAAGATTATGTTTCAAAATCAATGTTCAAAAGCAGCTGTTCTTAATACTGTTCCTAGCATCCCCCTGCTCTGCACACGCTCTCTCTCTCTCTCATTCAGCTCAGCAATGAACTGTTATACACTTATTTTCACATAGCTATGAGAAGCATTAAACATGGAAGGGCATGCGGTTGCTGTACTGTATTAAAGCTTTAATCAGGATAAAACTATATTAAAAGCTAACATAAGCAGTAGCATTTACAAATAACAGCGTATCTAAAAGTATGAGACAACAACAAGCAAAAAACATAGGCCTACCATTAAAAGCCATGCTTGCACAGGTTCTGCACGATCCTCTTCAATAATATGCTCTGCTTCTCAATCAGGCTCAAACTGATAAGCATATTAAAGACTTGTTTACACTACAACCAGAGCACATGCCGCTGAGGTGAGGGGCGGGACGTTTAGACGCGGTTTAGCCAATCACAACACACTGGGCTAGCTAACCAATCAGAGCCCATCGCCTATTTCTGAGGGAGGGGCTTCATAAAAGCAGGAAATTGATCAGAGCGTTTCTCAGAGAAGGGACAGAGAGGTGTGGAATAAAGGTAAATTATGTGAAAAATAATGCGTTTTTTAAAAAACGAAGCATTAACACATGTTAGACTACACCCCATAAACACAATCAAGCCTAGAAAAAAAACACTGAACCACCCCTTTAAAACGGCTTGCCATAATGGAACATTAACTGTCGAGTACATTACATTAAACGTCAGACGAACAGAATTATTTTGATTAGAAGTATGCCAGATTAGTACATAAACAAAGTAGTACATGACTGGAACTATATTAAACAATGACATTTGGGTTTCACAACATTTTTACATAATTTCTACACGGGGTCCTTCTCCATCCCAGAATGAATCATGTGGTGAGCTTTCACCGGTACAGCTAACAAGCACGCCTGCTATCATCAGAGTACAAAACCGCTTAACTCGAACTGTCGATACAGCTAGTACTTTTATAACATGTTATATTACAAATATGAACAAAAGATGAAGACTTACTAATGTACTAAGGTCTTGTTTAGAAAGATGAGGCTGACCCAACGTTGTTCCAAACTCGTCGCCCGCCATCTTGATAGAAAAGGAATGGAAGTATGACCAAGCAAACGCCTGACCGTTTTTTGCAAATACATGTGTGGTATTTATTAAAGCATGTGCCTTTAAATTATTTTTAAGTGTTATATATAGACATATAGATAGTGTTCTATGTTTCACTATTACACAGCATAAAACCATAAAATAAAAGATAATTATAAACTCATTTATCTAACAGCGTCCTGTAGGCATGGGATGATGCAATCAGTTTCTAGAAAACCCAGTAAACCCCAAGAAGGAGAAAACAGACCAGAAAATGCATCCTAGATTATAATTAACATTAAAAAAAATTTAAATACCAACATAACCAGCAGCAAAATGTACCTAATATATGATTAACGTCTACAAACTTGGATTGGAACACACGTTGGATTGACACGGATGAAACCAGGGTCCGTTTTAGGGTTATGACGTCACATGCTTTGTAGTTTTTATATTACCATCTATCTATCTATCTATCTATCTATCTATCTATCTATCTAATAGTATCAGAAGTTTTATGGGCTACCTCATAAAGAAACATATGATATTACTTTGTAATCAGTCTAAACATATTCTTTTGATGTTCCCATGCTGACATAAATATTAAAGTCAACTACACATACTGAAACAATATTTAGAAACTTTAATGTGGACAGTGCAAACATACATCTTGTGTATTAGTGTATAGCTTTTGTTTTTCCTCTCTGCATTTATTGTAATATGTGTAACACTGTACTGTGCACCATACAGTGTTCACCTCTTTTTGCAATTTGCAACATAATTGCCCTTGAGGGATCAGTAAAGAATATAATATAATATAATATAATATAATATAATATAATGTAATGTAATATAATAGGAGGTTCCAATGTTTATAAGGATTCATAAGGAAAGTAAAAGTTAAATCATAATATATGTCATAATTTATGTGCTCGAAGCAGTTTTCACATTTGTGACAGTGAACTAAAACATCTTGTACATGTAGGCAGAGAATATTGACACACAAACGCCAACATTTCCGTCCGACCGACAAATGTTCGGGAAATGACGTCAGTGCAGACAATAATATGGCGTCTACGATCGCCGTGGAGGCTATAGACAAACAACATTTAGGGATTCACCCTAAATAACACAAGTTTAATGTCACCTAAAGACGTCAACGGGTAGCATATCTCCGTCGATAATGAGATATCATATTTAATTTCTCTGGACTTTGTCTAACACCAGCACTCCATGTCCGAAGGACCTCGGGCTCCCTGGTCGAAGCGGGGTTGCGTGGAGTCGCATCGCCGAGGTAAAACCCTACTGGAATCGTTTCATTTCCCACACAACGTTGTCCTGCTTAATAGCGTAGTCATTTGAACTTATTGTAGCCGAAAACATCAGAATTGTTACATAAGTAGTGGGTTGACATTCGTTGGACGTGTCAGCGGTAATTACTGGCTGTGTCTATCATATAGAGCTAGTGAGCTCCCTAGGTAGACAGCATGTTTAGGCATCATATTCGCGTTAGGATTCAGCGACTGTAAATGCTGTCTAGATAGACAACTCACTAGATTTCAAGCCACCGCCAGTGTTTATGTTCAGGCGCTTGTAGATAGTTATTAAAGATTTAAGAAACAAAACAATAGCAACAACTGCAAAATCAAAACATGTCAATTAAGAAGCCCATAACACGGACTTTTCTTGGAATCAGTCAAGCGTTGTTTTTGTGTCTTGCTCACTGAGGGTCTGAACACGAGGTCATTGAAGTTTAGAGGATTTAAAACCACGCTGAGGCTAATTAAAGGTTGAACACTGCTAAAACAGATCCATTTGTCATTAAGTTACTGTGACAGTTAAACGTCATTATTTAGTAGGAGAAAAAACTTTTCTATAAACAACTTACTAGTCATCACAGAGAAGTTTGCCACAGTGCCAGTCAAAAGCATGGCTGCGTTTATTTAATTAAAAATACAGTAAAAACGATAATATTGTGAAATATTATTACAATTTAAAATAACTGTTTTCTGTTTTAATATACTTTAAAATGTAATTTATTCCTGTGATGCAAAGCTGAATTTTCAGCATTATTACTCCAGTCTTCAGTGTCGCATGATCCTTCAGAAATCATTCTAATATGCTGGGGTGTATTCCAGAAAGTGGGTTTTGTTGGAAACTCAGAGTTTGTTAACCCAGAAAAGGGAAACTTAGTGTTTTCGGTTCCAATAAAAGACAAAACTAAACCTCTCTGTAAGTTACCATATAGTAACTTACCGTTACATTTACATCAGGAGAGGATTTAATTTAATTTGATTTAATTTTTTATTTTGTCATATCCACATGCATATTTATTTGAATGGTACCATTTTTTAAAATGGCGTTCACTTGATAACATCTTGCTGCGACCTCTAAGTACCTCTAACCTAATAATTCGTTCAAGTTTTCACTCAGAGTTTGTTGAACCTCCTTTCTGGAATACACCCCTGATCAATCAATCAATATTGAAAACGTTGTGCTGCTTAATATATGTTTGTGGAAGAAGCCATGATACATATTTTTCAGGATTCTTTGATGAATAAAAAGTTCAAAAGAACCACATTTATTTGAAATATAGTAGGGATGCACGATATTGGATTTTTGCCCGATATCCGATATGCCGATATTTTTCAACTCATTTTGGCTGATGCCAATATATTTATTTTGTTTGGAAACAACACCAAGTCTCTCCTGTGCAGAAATATAAGCAAATTATTTTTCATTTGGTTTGATTTTTGGTTTGGTTTCATTTGTTAGAATTAAATAAACAATAATGGAGTTCTTTGAAGTTCTAATGACAGTACATTGAAGATTTGAAAATAACTATAAATAAACTATATTCAATCGCTGCATTTTTTTCAGAAAGATGCAGTGGTAACCTTAAAGGGATAGTTCACCCAAAAATTAAAATTCTGTCATTAATTACTCGCCCTCATTTAGTTTCAAACCCGTAAGACCTTCGTTCATCTTCGGAACACAAATTAAGATGTTTTGGAATCTGAGAGCTGTCTGACCCTGCATAGACAGCAACGCAACTGAAATGTTAAGTCCAGAAACGTAGCAAGGAGATCTGTAAAATAATCCATTGACATCAGTGGTTCAACCGCAATTATACGAAGCTACGAGAATACTTTTTGTGCGCAAAAGAAAAAAAAAAGACTTTATTCAACAATTCGTCTCCTCCGCATCACCCTGGTGCCATTTTGGAGAATATCCGCTGGACTAAACAACGTATGCTGTTCTGTGTTAGCTACGTCACACCGGATCACGCAGCTGACACAGAACAGCATACGCTGTTTACAGGGTGATGCGGAGGAGACGAATTGTTGAATAAAGTCTTTTTTTTTTTTTTTTTTCGCACAAAAGGTATTCTAGTAGCTTCGTATAATTGCGGATGAACCACTGATGTCACATGGATTATTTTACAGATCTCCTTGCTACGTTTCTGGACTTGGGAACATTTCAGTTGCATTGCTGTCTATGCAGGATCAGATTATTTTTATGTCGGTGTCCATCAGCGAATCTGCTGACGGACACCGTGCTGCGTTGTCACGGGAACATGCCAGCTGAAGATGAGGAAATTACGTCGCTCCCTTTGCCAAGTGCATTCCAAACGACTACATAATGGCACACACGTGCCCTGCTCACTCCAAAGTCCCCACTCCAAGGGGATAGGGATGATCACTTCCATTTGGAATTGCCCTGTGAACCGTTCGGTACCGATACTCGTACCGGCACACCCCTTGAGTAACATTTGATATGTTCTTTTTAACTCTTTAGCAGAACATTTTCAAATGTGTGTTAACAATGGGTAAATTAAATAATAATAACACAGAAATTAAAGAATATCTACCAGCATGTGGATGTCATCTCTTTTTAGAGCAGGGCAAGTACAAGCAGAGGAAATGTGAACGTCCCTTCAGCGCAGTGAAGCCGACAGTTGGCCAGGAGGCCTCTAAAAGGTAATATCACAAAATCTTCACCCTCTACTTTTCTACAAGCCACATAACCTGCTGAGGATACAGTGTCTTTAAGTGTATTTCATCTCATTTTTATATCAAAAATGATTGAACAATAAGAGGCTGTTGTTCTGCACAAATATGGTGTAGTTTTAATATGCAAACAGGGATATATTTTGTCAAAGTATTCTATCAAATTCTACCTCCATTTATAAGTAATTGTTTCATATTTGCACACAGTGGGACATTGAGTTGTTGGTGCATCTAGTATTTTAGTCTGTTGGTAATTCTCACGTTATTTTAATGATTGGGGCTTGTTCAATTTGTCATTTAGGTGAATATCTTCAGAATTTAATTTCCTACGGACACAAGAGGTACTGTCCTCTGATTGGCTCGGACACCCCCCTGTGACATGCCCGTGGCCAATCAGAGGTGAGTGTGCTGTGTGTGTATGTGTGCAGTAGAGGGGGAGTGTGTGGGGGAGTTTTGAGATAGAGTTTGGCTTTCAGCAGCAGAAACTGAAGTGCTGAGGTGTGAAAGTTCTTGAAGTCCTTCCAGAGGCTTTATTAAAGTCTGGCATGTTTTTTTCACCATCTATTATTCACTAAAATACAAGTAGCTCAGACGATTTGGTTGATAAAGAACTTGAGGAGATGCTGTTTAGTTCAATGAGCATGTAATTAAAGATATGCATAATTTTATCTTTTTTTAAAGGGATTGTTCACCCAAAAATGAAAATCCTCTCATCATTTATGCTACATTCAAAATTTGGTGTCGGTATGATTTTTTTGTTTTTGAAAGAAATCTCTCATGCTCACCAAAGCTTATTTGATCAAAATTACAATAAAAACAGTAATATTGTGAAATATTACAATTTAGTTGTTTTTGTAAATATTTTAAAATGTGATTTATTCCTCTGATGGCAAAGCTGAATTTTTAGTAGCCATTACTCTAGTCTTCAGTGTCACATGGTTTCTTATTATTATTATCAATGTTAAAAACAGTTGTGCTGCTTTATATTTTTGTGGAAACAGAGATCCATTTTTTTCAGGATTCTATTGTAAATAGAAAGTTCAAAAAGAACAGCATTTATTTGAAATATAAATATTTTGTAACATGTATAAATTTCACTTTTGATCAATTTAATGTGTTTATGCAGAATACAAATATAAATTTCTTTTAAAAAATCAAACTGAAATTTTTATTGTACTAATTTTCATGTCATTCCAAACTTTTAGGACTTGCTTTTTTCTGTTTTTGTCTATCAAATAATGTTAATGTTGTCCAAAACAACAGTGGACCCCACAAACTTTCATTTTATGGTTAAAAAACACTGAGAAATATTTCTAAATATCTTCGTATCTTTGTATTTCAATGATAACAGTTTTTATTTTTGGATGAACTATCCCTTTAAGAGGCTTTTCCCATCCTGTTGATTGATATTGAACTCTGAGACGGGACAAATCAGTCTTATTTCTATCAAATACTTGAGAAAAAAGCAGTAAAACATCTGTCTCTCCATCACACCTTGCAGAGATGACCAGCTGAATGGGATGTATCGACTCCTCTTTACACGTCATTTATAAGAGCGTTTGTGTCTCTGCAGGTGCCTAATGGCAGGGGAAGTGGAGGTGTACCTTTCCCAAGTGCATGACGGCAGCGTGTCGTCAGGCTTCAGAGCCTTGTATGAGGAGCGACTGCTGCTCGATGTCACTCTGCTCATCGAGGAGCACCACTTCCAGGCGCACAAGGCTCTGTTAGCAACGCAAAGCGACTATTTCCGGGTCATGTTCACGGCCGATATGCGGGAACGTGACCAGGATAAGATTCACATGAAGGGGTTGACGGCAGCTGGGTTTGGTCACGTCCTTCGCTTCATGTACTACGGTTCTTTGGAGTTGAGCATGCTCACTGTGCAGGAGATCCTGCAGGCTGCCATGTATGTGCAACTCACCGAGGCTGTAGAGTTCTGCTGCTCCTTCCTGCTGGCCAAGATCTGCTTAGAGAACTGTGCTGAGGTCATGCGCTTGCTGGAAGACTTCAGCGTTGGCGTGGAAGGTGTGCAGGAGCAGCTTGATGGATTTCTGCTGGAGAACTTTGTGCCCTTGATGGCGCGACCAGACTTCCTGTCTTATCTGAGTTTGGAGAAGTTGAAGGCGTATCTGGATAGTGACCAGCTAAGTCGATTTCCGGAAATAGAGCTGTACGAGTCAGTGCAGGCCTGGCTGAGACATGACCGGCGGCGCTGGAGACATACGGATGCGGTCGTGCAGAACCTGCGCTTTTGCCTCATGACTCCTGCCAATATATTTGAGAAGGTAAAAGTGCATCCTTGTTACTTATGTGTCATTGATGGATAAGAGAGTACACAACAAAAAAGGAGAAATCATTTATTCAAACGTGTGCCAAGCCTTTGTATTCATGTTGATTTCATATGGTTTTGGAGAACATTTATACTATTTTCAAGAAAAATAGTGGTCTAACCACTAAAGTAAAAACTATTTTCCTTACAAAATGTTTTTAATTGTCTTTTTCAAGGTGTATTGCCATACATTACACATAAACTGGAATTACAAAGATAGCCATATACTGTATTACATATGAACCTTTAGTCCTTTCACCAGTACATTATGTCAGTAAACAATTATATACACTTACAAATGCAATCATCTAAAACACAAAAGAGCTTATTAACAATTTCCTCCATTTGTTTTCAAAGATTTGCGTAGAAAATAATTATTTTTAGTAGGGCTGGGTATTGTTCAAATATTTTCGATACCGATACCTTGACTTCGATACCAGTTCCTGAACAATACTTTTTTCGATACCAATTTTATGAAATCCATTTTAACAAGATTACATTACACATTACCTCGAAAAACTTATTTTTTTTCAGTTTGTTGAGGTTTTTACAGACTCAAAGATTCATCTCCTGAGCCACTGCACAAAGGAACAAAATGTAACCAACACAATAAATTAGTGCAAAGTATTAAGCAGAGCATGAACTGCTTCCAGCGCTGTCTGCCTGTGTTTTCTCTTCTGTGATCGCTGAAGCTTATTCGCTGTTCATATTTCAATCATATTACGTGTTCATAACCCGCCTTGTCTCTTCTGAAGACGAACGTGCATTACACTTCCAAAAAAAACATTTACAGAGATGAAACAAGAAGCTAATAAACAAGCGATTACGACAGTATATGATTTGTATGTGATTTTCATGAGATTCTGCCTATTTTTATATCAATACAGTGTGTTTACATGAGAAATGCTAAGCAGGTGTAGTGATTAGCTTGATATAAAAGGCTACAAATAACATATTTCTGCAACATTATATGACCCTCATTAGATAACTTCCGATTGCGATCTAATGAGGGTTTTATTACAAACACTCAATGGTGGTTTAAAGTGAGTTTTGAGTAAAAGTTTAGTATTAATTGTATAAATTGTCTTATGTAGCATGATGCTACACTGTGCAAGAATGGACACAGATGCGTTTTCCTTGATGCCTCGCCAGAGCCAATCACTGATTTAGGCACATAAAGCATGCTGCAAGCTTATTGGCTCACTGACTTTGATTAGATTAACCCCTTAGGTATCGAAATTTGGTACCAA